TTGTGTGTGTGTGTGTGTGTGTGTGTGTGTGTGTGTGTGTGTGTATCTTCTTTATCCATTCATCCATCGATGGACATTTGGGCTCTTTTCATACTTTGGCTATTGTTGATAGTGCTGCTATAAACATTGGGGTGCATGTACCCCTTTTAAACAGCATACCTGTATCCCTTGAATAAATACTTAGTAGTGCAATTGCTGGGTCGTAGGGCAGTTCTATTTATATCACTCTTGAGCTTCTTGAGGAGGCTCACGGTGGTAGTGGCTTCACTCCCAGGTCAGTCCAAATTTCTTCTCATAAGGACACCAGTCATGTTGGATTAGGGCCCATCCTAATGACCTCATTTTAACTTAATTATCTCTTTAAAGACCCTGTCTCCAAATACAGCCACATTCTGAGGTACTGGGAGTTAGGAGTTAAGTATAGAAATTTGGAGAGGACACAATTCAACCCATATGAGGAAGCAGAAGTTATTGAATATAACATGAAATTATTCACTAATAAACAAAACTGACTGATTAAAAATGTTTCCTGACTCAAACATCTCACCATACTTAACTTTAGAATTTCTCTGTTGACATCTTTGACTAATCACTGGATAATACAGTGCACATCCACTGCAAAGTGAAATTGCAAATCTTGCAAAAGATGTATTATTTGATGAAACAATGGAAGTGAAGCTGGAGAAATTTCATACAACATACCCAAAGCCATTGATAAGTGAGGATCTGATAGTTAACCAACAAAGAAAATCAAAGATGAGGACACTAGCCTTTGAAGGAAGATACTTAATATCAAAGTATTAAGGCTTTTTGGAAAACTATGAAGTCCTCAAGTATTTTTACAAAAATGACTCTTTTTATGATTATTGTTTTGAATAAAAAGAATTTCAAAATGAGACTTGCCTTTCTGAGACTACATTCCAGAAGAAAGGAAGAGAGTGCTCACCGGCTAATGGCTAGCACCACCACATTCTAGTTCTTACACCAAAAATTTTTTATACACCAGTACAATCTAACACCTCTCAGAAACTGCCTTGTAGTCTGCAAGGGAGAGTCCATCTCACAGGCAGGTAGGAAAAATTAGACCTTGTAACATTGTGTAGGGGAAGGAATGTGAACCTTGTAGTCAAAATGTTGATGAATCTAAAAAAGGATACTGGAGGGGTGCCTGAGTGGCTCAGTTAACAGTCCGTTCCACTCTTGATCTTGGCTCAGATCATCTCACAGCTTGGCTCGTGATTTTGAGCCCCCGCATCTGTCTTTGTGCTGACAACACAGAGCCTGCTTGGGATTCTCTCCCTCTTTCTCTGCCCCTCCTGCTTGTGCTCTCTCTCTCAGAATAAATAAGTAAACATTAAAAAAAAAAAAAAAGATACTTGAAAAGGGGGACTGATAACATGCATTTGAAAGAGGTCACAGTATTCATGTAGGAAAATATCCATTAAGGAGTCCTGATATTTGTCCAAAGCATTAAAATATTGAAAATCTCTTTTTAGGAGTGCCTGGGTGGCTCAATCGGTTGAGCATCCGACTTCGGCTCAGGTCATGATCTCACAGTTCGTGAGTTCGAGCCCCACGTCTGGCTCTGTGCTGACAACTCAGAGCCTGGAGCCTACTTCAGATCCTGTGTCTCCCTCTCTCTCTGCCCCTAA